AGCAAAAAAGACATCTTAATCAATATGCTAACCCAAACCCTTGCACCTCAAAAAACCTTAGTTAACACAAAGAAAAACATATTTGTTTTCAGCCTTCAGAAAATATTACTAGATCTTGTATGTGATATAGATCAACTTACCTTCACCCTGACTCCTATAACCCTGACTCCTATAATGTAGGAACTTATTTCTGATCCATTTATAACGTCTTCAATGTGCAGTAGGTTCTCCCCTACACACAGGTGTGCGCGAATGTGTAGACACATTCAGACAAAAGTCTGCCACTGTGCATTAGGTGTCACAGCGCAAGGCACACACCACTGTTCATGGAACCTCCTATACTATAGTGATTTTGATTTGTCTGTATCTGCAGGAAACTACACATATATCTCTCAATTTACAGTGAACACACTCCAAATACATTTTCCAAATGAATGTTCCTAAACAAAAGCAAGCCATTAACTTAATGTATTTGGATTTGATTTATTTTATTTCCTAATTTAGTAATTGCTACAGAGGGGACAGCTAACTGTATATTAAAGGCTAGGCTGAAATCTCATTAGAATTACGTAGATATCTACCCAGTATGGACACTGGCTCAAACAGGTTGTTATTTGTGTTTCACTGAGAAATAGATTACAATGGTTTCCAAGAGCAACTTTAGTCCACAGCCATTATACAGGTTAACAGTGAACAGTTGGGCCATGCAGGCCTATCGCGTGCCTCAAAATACAGTGACCACTTATTGTCAAAACTTAAAACAGAGAGGGTCGTGTTCTTCCCACAATGGTCAGCCTCATGACTGAATTTATATTTATAGCTGGCCTCTCCATCATCTGTGCACGTAGCATAGACTGCATCTCCGAGGAATTGGAGTGGCATTATTTGAAGATCTGATTAAATAGCCTGGAAAAAGTAATCCATCATGTATCAGGAGAAATGTAAGGCAGTAACAATGGTGCCTGTTGTGCTTTCAGATTTTCATCTTCATTTCTTTTGCTTTCCTTCTCATCCAGTGCCAAATACAATACACATGAAAAGTATCACTTTAAGACTCTATCATCTAGACATAAAAAGAATATTCGATCAAGATTTTCTTAAGCTGATTCTAGTGAGGAGGCAAATGGTATTTCTGCTGAGAAGGCTTTTGCTCCCTTATGGTCACACAGACTTAAATAAATCAGGGACCAAGGAGAACACAAGATGCCATTAATATAGTAATACTTGTTTCAGTGTGAGCCTCCTCACATGAATGAAAATGAGCATCTATGCTTAGTTTATTGAGGGAGCTGAACCACCAAATATTAGAGAGACAAACCAAAAGAAGCAACAATAAAACAGCTTTATTTTCTCCAATAATCCATTTCTAAGTACGTCCTCTGAGATTAAATTCCCACTCTTTGCAACTTGAGCCAGTCATCTGGCCCTGAGGTCACCTTAAAATATTTTAAAATCTTCAGGTTTTCAGAAAACAAACAAAAAAATTATAGTGTTGATACACACACACACACACACACACACACAAACATACACGCACGTGCACACACACACACACACACTCCATTTTGTGGAATCTACCAAAAATTTCTAAGGGGTAGAGGGAAAGAAAAACATGGAACTAATATCTAAGGGGTAGAGGGAAAGAAAAACATGGAACTACTCACACTCACACAATGAATGTAAACAGGTATTAGGTACTAATGAGAAATTAAAATAATATTGAACCTAAGGTTTCTACCAATCTCTCAAAGCAAAGCAGCCCTGACACAACAAACAGGCAAAGGGGCTGCAGTATTGCCTGTCTTCTTTGTGTCTACTTTGTCCCTCTGCTTAGGGATTTCCAGGGGAATTGTGGATTTGGAGTGAAAACTGAAGACTGACTTTTCAGCTTGTGCTCTTAAAAATCCACTGTCATGGAAGACATGTCCATGCTTAATTATTTGTGGAGCAGTAGATTAGGGTCTGCAAAGACATCCACTTTGGGAATCCCTCATGCAGCTATTCTTCAAGTTGGCGAGGTACTCTCTGCCTGATCTTTTGCCTCAGGCTCCAGGGCAGCCTCACGCTTAGCACTATCCCTCTCGTTTCCTTTGAGTGGTGCACCATAGCAGGTCGGGCCTATGGGGCAGCATCTTATCAAGAAACACTCAACACTGATTTCTGTAACTGGAACTCACACTCTGTTCTTCCCACAGTCGGCCTCTCCTTTTGCTTCCCCGCATAATGGGTAGCTTCAGATTCTCTGTAGCCAGAGTACACTGTCCTCCATTTCCAATGTTTGCAATCTCATGGTACACACACACACACACACACACACACACACACACACACACACACGCCACGTATGTCAAAGAAGCTCACTTAGTGTCCTAACAATTGGACTTTTGGCAGAGGGCAAATACTACGACAATATCCAGCCTTATGAGTTGCGGAATTTCCGTGACTCCTCCATTTCTATGGGCAGCTGTAGGAGCTGATCGCTGGGTTTCGGCAATTGGTGCCAAGTGGTTACAAGTTGTGTTGAATATGTGCTCTAGAACCAGGTAGTAATTTGTTGCACATTTTCCTGTACTTTCTGGCCTTAACTAGAATTGTCTTATTCTATGAAGTGCTAAACATCCAATGTTAGCTTCCACATAGCCTATAAATTGTTACTAATGATACAAAGCATGTTTTTTAAAGCATGATTCAAATTAGAGCCCTTGATTTTAGAGTTTGTTGTCTCCCATTTGCACACTACTTGCTCTTCAGAAGAAGATCTATTTACTCACATGAGTGAAGTTATACTAATATGCACAGTATATTGAATGGAGGGAAAAGAAATCATCTAGGAGAGAAATTGAGCTCCTGGGGTTAGGTGATGGTTAAATTCCTAGATGATTCCCTGGGTTACTTTACTCATCTAATACTGTACTCTATAGTTGGCTTTACTTTACATCAATCAAGAAAAAAGTGAAAGTTTATCTTTGCAGACTCTATTATCAGTATCATCAGCCTCCTGCCAAGGTACAGAAACCATATGAATCTAATAGGCACATTTAAAATAATAAAAGTCGAAGGAAGACTATGTCTGATTTAGTATTTCAGTTACTTCCTATTAAACTGGCTTCAGGGACAAGCTGACAATAATAAGCCATGTCAGAAGAGAGAATGATATGAAAGAGTTGAAATTTACCTAATGTGATGTGAAAGCTTTTCAGAAAGTATTAATATGTAGTAGCATTTAATTCCATGTAAATGACTATTCACATTCTTCTTTTTAACATTTTTATTTTTTATTTATTTATTTATTTATTTTTTTGGTACCAGTGATTGAACTCAGGACCTTGTGCTTTCCAGGCAGGCACTTATGCTGCTGAGCTATCTCCCTGGCCCTTTAACTTCATTAATGTTAAATCTTTCAGAACATATAAACAGCACCACCTTTTCTTCACCTTCCTTTGCTCCTAGCAGAAATAATGTTGTTATGGAAATTTTATGTGATAGATCTATCTAACAGAGTTATGCTAATTTTAAATATATCGTATTTAACCTTCAAAATACTTCTAAACAAAGGAAAAACAATATTAATTATTCTAATAATGAGTCTATCAAAATTTGATTAAAACAATAAAAAATGGGTTTCATTATAAGTGATTATTTTGTCTGCTTTTCTGCAATTTCCATACACTAAAAATGATTTCTAAACATATAAAGGGACCACCCACTCGGGGCCCCCTCCTGTCCTTCTCTTGGATAAGAATTTTCTTTGCCTCAATAAATCTATTCTTCTCATAAAAAATATACAGGTATATATATGGGGTCCTTATATGTAAGTATATGTGTTATGTTTATATAACTGCCTGTACACAATATATATATATGTGTATATACACATATGTGTATATGTGTGTACATATATGTTTATATGTCATATGTTTTTTATTTATATGAAGCACTTGGAAGAAAGGCAGGTCACAGAAGAGATACAATATTAATTTTCTTGTTGTTATGTTGAAAATCAAGAGCCCTATTGTTTATGATGATTTATTTCCAGGAAATGATGCTCATTTAATGCAAATAGATGAAATACATATGAAATTATCTGAAAATAATTTCTCATCAATACATAGGCATTTATAACTTAACCATTTCATATAGATTTAAAGCATAAAGAAAACAAAGGAGACCATGAGTAAAAGCAGACCCTGGGTGATGCTGGCCACCCTCCCAGGGCTCCAGCGTCCCTACCTGGCTTTGGGACGATGAGCTGTGCACTGGCTTGGGCGTTGCCAGCCTCATTTTCAGCCACACACTGATAAAAGCCTTCATCCGACTTGACAACCCCTAGGATCCGTAAATTGCTTCCTCCCTAGGACAAAAAAGCAGATAAAATACTGTAAAAAGCAAAAATGAAAACAGAATCCTCAGTGTAACAAAATGAACATGGACCAAAGTTGAATAAAATATCACAAAGTAAACAAAAAGTGAGCACTTGGGATTCTGAACCTCACAGATGTCTTAGGCTACCTGGAAAATGTTATGCATTTGAATACACTTTTCTAAATTCATGGGTATCAGTTCAGACTAGTTCTGCAATGAAAACGTCCTCATAGAAATGTACATCATTCTTAATATCTAAATAAGCAAAAGGAATGTCTCTTATTAGATATGGAAGAAAAAAATGAGTTCTGAAAGAATTTGTATTCTTTTATTTATCAATATAGGAAACTAGGTTTACTAGCTTTTAAGGAAAACAAAGTAAAACATGACAAAATAAAAAAGTAGTGATATTTGAACATTATAAAGAATAAGGATTGAATTTTATTTATTTTCAGGAAATGTTTTAGTGTCTGAAAATCCTTTTAAAAATAATAATTGCTGTGACATATTCTCTACTGGGCATAGGGTTGAGGTACCATGGAAACTGTAATCTATGTCACTCATATTCTCTCTTGGAAATATTTCACACCTTTGGCAGTCTATAAATGAAATATGACAGCATTAATTCCTTTTTTATATAGAATGAACCACCATCTTTTTCAAGGATGAATGATAAAATGATCTGAAGATAACATTTAATTATAGGAACTCGGTTTATCTTCTATATTAGTGCAAGAATTAGCTCAGTAAGAGAGAAATGTTAAATCACTTCCCTGAAGTCATTAAGAGATAAATATTACCTCATAGGGAATTCTAATTGTTTTTAGTGTCTTGTAGTCAATTCTCAGCTGATGTAAAGTTCGTAGATAAAGCTGCTAACTTCTAATTAACAATTCTCATTTAAGTTATTATTTGCACTTAGTTTTTATATGCACAATATACAATTGCTCTTGAATTTCCAGAACTAGTGAGAAAATATTTTTAAGTGCAATTTAATGTGAATAGGGCACATGCATTTTCTTTCACCTTAAGAAAAGAAGCATTTAAATAGGTTTGCTGAAATGAATCATGCTGGGAGAAAGATTATTCAAACTGTAGGAAAAAATGCTGAATTTAATCATGTTTCTATAAGGGTGTGCAACAATTTCCTTTATATGCAAGTAGAATATATTGTAGGCATATGCAACACTTTTAAGCTACCCGAAGGCAGGTCATTTTCAGTTCAGTGGTATTGGAAAGAACATCACATTTAAGGGAAGTAATGGATTGGTATGGCATTCAAAGGTTAAAATTTTCCACCTCTTACTCTACTCCCAACCAATTAAATGCATGCAGCTACAATTGAAAAATGGGTAGTGATGAGAAAAGTGATAAACCTATGATTTATTGATTTATTCCTTTAAATTTTATTGCATGTCAAAATGCATGCACAAGGTTATGAAAGTTGGTGAAAGCCACTTGATTGTAGAAGAAGCTTTTATGAGTAAGAGCCAGCAGAATGCCATGGGAAGAGGTTATGCTTGGTCTTGCTAGATGCCTACATTCTGGAATATTCTGCCAGAGAGATGTGACTTTTACAAGAGCTCCTCTTTGATGGGGTCATTTTGTATCTCAAACATAAGACAAGTGGACCAAGATGCTTCTTTACCTGCAAAGTTCCCTGATGTTTGGAAAGTGGGATTTTATATACCTAGTTCCCATACCATGTATTCAGATGCCTGCAATCAGAACCTTTGATCTGAAAGTACATCTACAAAGGAGTTTCCTCAGAGCATTTTTACAATGAAGCAATCATTCTTCTGATAATAGTAAAGAGATATATGCCAGGAATGGGACACTCACTGTGCACCAGGACAATTCAGTAAACTCAGTACCAGTATTTTATCCCAAAAGGATGGAGATGGTGAACTAAAACTTATGGGGAGATATAAGAATTATTACTCCTGGCTTCTTTTTCTAACACTGAAATTTACAAAGCAATCTAAACTATAGATCTTCATGGACTTTCTAATGTTTTTGTGACCACTATCACTGTTCCCATCAATGCTGCTTATACAAGATAAGTTAGCATTATGTGGAAAAATAACAAAGAGAAGTAGTCTTTCTTATAAAGTAAGATACCATAACTATAAATAAGTTATCTTATTAAAATGTATTATAAGTGGTGAAAGTCACAGTAGTAAGAAAATTCTGGTTTAATGTAGTCTTCTACTAGATTGCAAATTATGTTATACGAGTATACTTGGAAAGTTTGATGTGCTCTTTTTTGCTAGGGTTTACAGCCATATCATACAGGACAAGTAGAATGGATGGTATGATCACTCTTGTTCAGGTCTACAATTCCCTTCTAGAAAAGCATCTTCTTTCTTAAAAGTCTTCTTAACATATTTAAAAATACCCAACAGTAAATGTCTCACCAGGAAGAAAAAGCAAATGAAAAAAAAATGTAAACAATAACCACACTTGTCAACCTAATATGTAAAAAGATAATTACCACTATCTGAAAATAATCACTAGGAATGACCACATCTCCATTCTTCATCCAATTCACAGTGGGCACAGGCTTTCCAGAAACTGAACATTCGAACTCAATATCCATGCTTTCATAGGCATAGAGGTTGGAAGGGTGATTTAAGAACCATGGGGGAACTGCAAAGACAGAAGAAAAAAGCAAATAAGTGAGGATATGCACTTGCATTTTGAGATCTTTACTAAGTTGAGAACACTGCTGTTGGGTAGAAATACTTGCAATTCAAATAATTCCCCAAACCATACCTGATTATACAGGAACTACTATAGAATATATGATACACCTCCAGGCCCATGCACATAAGTAGTTGCAGTAAATAGTATTTTCCTAAAAGAAAAAAAAATTTGGAAACAAATATCTACATAAAACATAAAATATGCAATGAACATTCTGAACATCTTTGTGCTGCATGAGAATGATCTACTCATCATAAGGTATATAAAGCCACAGAACAAATACCCATGACGAAAAGCGAGGAAAGCTCATAGCATTGAGACAACACAGAGCGCAAGGTGATAATGCTTAGTTTGCCTGTAATTCTAGAGTTTTGCTACACTTACTTAATGTGATGACTCATTCTTTACTGAAACTAGTTGTGTAATAAGGCTTTAAAAATGAATATATTATCTTTTTCTGTGGATACATTTCTATTTTTCTAGAGACTACCTATCACAAGTATATTACCACATCGTGTTATTATTTTCTCTGCATGGTATCTGATCCCAGATTTAATTTAATTTCTTAATTACCACAATGCTAGTTACTCTATGATGGAAGATCGATATTGAAGGAAAATACAAATATAGAAAACACATCTTTACTATGAATCCCTCAGGTTCAATTTATCAAAACCAGCCTAGAAGAGGAATTTTTAAAAACCACTAAATAAAACTTAAAGCCACAATCTTAGTCTACATGCCACTTGAGTGCCGGATTAAGTTCAGGGTAGTACCAATGGCTCTGTGGGACTCAGGAAATTAGTAGGTATTTTCAAGATGAGGTTGTGTTTTGTCAGTGCTGTTAGTATGTTCAGTGACTAAGGAGTGCTACGTTTTGCTCATTTAGAGAATTGCATTTTTCTCTTTCCTCACTGCCAGCAAAACTTTCCCCTGATGCCAAAGTGAGTATTAGAGCTACGATAGTTACCGCCTTTTAGAAAAATTGGTGAAACAATGCAAACCCCATAGATTTACATTATTCTCTATTTCTTTCTCTTTTGTCATACATTCCAAATTATAACTAAATTTTACACCTATAGTGTTAAGTATTTTTTAAAACATTTCACAGAAACAACTTAATTTAGATGTCTTGTCTGGGATTCATTAATGTTCATGAGGTAAGACCTGAAAAGGTAGGTGATTTTTGACCCATTTTTACATTTCATACAGGGTATATATTTAATTTTATGGACAAATGTTAAAACAAAACTTCATACAAAATAATAGGAGAATAACATAGTTAACACATTGCATATTGTTATCCTTAAAGTTGTTACTCAGGGTACAGGAGATGGGCATTAACATTTCTGTAATAGATATTAGCACAAACTTTGCTTCTCAGTGGACTGAGACACTAACAGTAGAACTGACTTGCATTTTTCCCTTTTCCTTTTGTCTTTTCCTCTTTTCTTCATCCTAGGAACCTTTTGTTATTGAACAATGTCTATTGATATTATTAGTATAATGAGTCATTTTTAATTCCTTAGCTAAATTCACTGACAAGAAAACAAAAGACACCAGAAATATTTGTATAATATCCTCTGAAAAGTTATAACTGCATCTTCTCGACTTTGTTCTCAGTCTTACTGCAGATTTTGGTCAACTGTTTATTTACTAGCCAGCAGTTAATGTTTCCTCCCAGGAAACAGTATTTCAGAAAAGTGTACTTTGTATTTATTATTCTCACCACAACTGTCTGAGGCAGGATTCATGAAACCTGCTTTACAAATGAAGAGGTTGAGCTACAAGGTGTTTAAATAATTTTTCCAAAACTACACAGCACATAAATTGCTGCACCAGACAGTCTGACCCCTGTCCATGTTTCTTCTCTGCCCACAATGTGAACTACAATGTTTTGTTACAATCATCTACTTTACTACTTAAAAAGTTCGGTGAAATTATGACCCAGTCATGTTTCTGGTGTCTCAAAGATGATGGAGAAATTAAACTAGGGTCATTTAAAAAAAATAGAACATTGGTATCTATCCATTCTCTTCTGCTATTCTTTCTTTCTTAGAAGAAGGTCAATTCTATATCTTTTGAATCTTCACATTCATAATGATTTTGGAATCACTACTTATAAATTAGAGTTTTGTAAAATGAAGGTCACATCTATTAGTACATCTTAAAGTGATTTATTGATGTACATTCATGTATCTATTCTCTCTCTCTCTCTCTCTCTCTCTCTCTCTCTCTCTCTCTCTCTTCTCTGTATGACAGAGAGAGACAGAAGGGGACAGTAAAGGAAAAGGAGGAGAATGAGAGAACAGAAAGGATTACTGGTATGAGAAATAGAATAATGTGCTGGCCCCACCCCCAGGTGCACTGAGCTGGCCACCGAGTCCAGAAGTGGTAGTGCATGCCTGTAATCCCAGTGCTGGGGAGGCTGAATCACTAAGAGTCTGAGCTCTATAGTGAGACCCTGTACCAAACACATTAAAAAAAGAAAAAAAGAAAAGAAAAGGAGAGTACTAAATTTGTATCGAAGGGGCAAATAAAAAGGTTCAAGAACCCTAATGATGGATTGGGACCATCTGAGTGTCAATCCCAATCTCTGTACTCACTAACAGTACCTCTACTGTCCACATCTATAAACTAGCAGCGGTGGGGAACCTAGGAAATCCATGTTGTTTGTTTTTCCTTTAAGATTAAAGATGTTAGTATATGAGTTGTTTCTTTCAAAGCCCAAATCTCAACATTCAGTTTTAATTGCAGTGTTGGCACTTTGCAATCAGTAAGTGGGTTCCGGGTTGCAGTTTGGATACCTGTCTCCAATAGGTTTGCCCTCTCTGACTCAAAGCTAAGAACTGGGGATAGTGGCAGTTAATTGTGAATGCTTCAACATGATACAACATTAAAGGTTTACATTAGAAAATACAGTTTATCACTCAAACAAACATCATTGTACCATACACATCTAAAGAATTAGAAAAATATATGTGACTATCTTTCCTATGTTTGTGAATGGTCTTTTTAAAATTATGTCATTTCCTGATATTTCATTAGCATTTTCATTTCATTTTCTATATTTTCAATATAAAGATACTATGCTTCACATAATAGTATTTCTTAAAATTAAATATGGAGTTTAAGTGACTATAATTTTTGAAATAGTGTTGTGAACATTCAGTTTTCCTAATTTCAAAGGAAATCTTTATTATTCTTCACTAGAATATATAATATAAAGTTGATCACATTGCTAATTCTCAAACATTTTGTTTACTGAGTTTATTTTGATTTAGAGACTAATTTAATTAAAGCATGTAATCGTAGTTTTAATGCTGTAAGTACCAGATTGACTCAATTATTCTTTTGTGTTTACAGGTACTTGTACGTATGTCAGATTTTATCTATATTTTTAGTTTTCTTATACTTCTTAGGCTTTAAGTATTACACTCAGCATTGCACCTTGATTTCCCTCCATTTTAGTGACTCTGTTTTTATATCAGCTTTTCCAATTTTCACATTATATCAGACAGTATGCGAGAGACAAAATGTTTTTCTTACTTATGTGGGGCAGCGTCCTCCATGCTAAGTGGTTCTGTATCTCCTGCATTATGACATATACTGCCTATTTTGGGCTGTAGTATCTGTCATGAACAGGACCTGAGGTTAGGACAAGGCCTAGTCCTCTCTCTTAATGGCTCAATACCTGGCACAGTGTCTAAGCCTCAATAGAGGCTCAGCAAAAATTTGCTGTTGATTCTAATAAGAATTCAACAAAATATACATTTTCACCCTCTGCTATGGGGGTATTGGTCTATGGTAAAGTTTGAACACTGTCACAGAAAACGTATTTATGCAAGATTAAATTATATTCTAATGAAAAATATTAATAAATGTTAAAAAACTTAAAATTTCAGAGTGCAACTATTTTGAAACAAGACTGGGAAATGTATGTTACTTTTGCTTACTTTCTTACTTTTCAGTAATATTTTAAATTTTATGCTTAAAATTCTTTTTCTGGAAAAAGGGAATTAAAATATGTGACTTGGGGGAAGATCTTAAAATTATCTAAAAATATAAGACTAGGTTGGATTGGGAAGTAAGGAAAAGCTCTCCATCCTTGCTTTTAAGTAACATACAAGGGCCAGCCAGACAGCTCAGTTGACTAAAGCAGGCTCCACCCCTGGGGCATGCTGAGACAGAGATTAAGACTGGGCATGGTGGCACATGCCTGTAATCCCAGTGCTTGGGAGGGTGAAAACAGGAAGATCACTACGAGTCCAATCTATGTAGTGAGACCCTGTGCACCCAGTAGACCCTTTCCTTGACTTGACCATACAATCCAGTCTATCCTTAAACTCACAGTGGTCCTCTTCCCTCAGCTTTATGGATGCTGGGATGCTAGACACACGTCCAGCCTATACTTTCATATTTAATAGCTTATAGACAAGGTAAAAATTGACTGATTCTATTTTAGTTTCTTACTATTTTCCATAGAAATCATCTACTTTTACAAAATTAATCCTGCCTATTAAGTTACTTAAAAATTAAAATGGATATTATATAAACACAAATGGAGAAAGTGGCTACAGAGGGACCATGGCTTGTCTGTAGCTAAGGACATGCTCTATCTCATAAACAAGTTTGTGCTCATGGATTGATGTTTAGGCCGCATTCCTCTGGTAACATGGACTAATCAGTACGGTGATGAGAAATTGCTCTCCTCCAGGGCTTCAGTTTTTCTGAACTTACGTTGCTTCAGTAAGTTGTAAAGCTAAGTTTAAATACATAAATTCGTTTTCTGTTTTGTTTAACAATGATGTACTATGCAGTATATTTTCGCCCAATTCATCAGTTCTCTGCCAGACTTTCCCTACGTGACAAATGATTCAAAATCTGCTTAACATTTTCCCCTACTTTCCTTCTCCTACCTGCACATCTGTCCTCTTCCATAG